CAATTTTAAAGTAATTATATTCAAACATGAAGCAACATCATTTTTCCAAAACCTGAAGGGGGAAAGTTTTCAATAATTTTTGTTTGTTCCAATTTAAGATTTTATTTTGTTTGTCTATACTTACTATTACTATTTGTTACTATTTTCATGTAACTTTTTTTTTATAAATATGTATATGTAAATTAATTCAATAAACAATGTTTATTTAAAATTTACATTGATTGTTTTCTATTCAGAATGGGGGGAGGGTAATATCGACTTACGCAGTAATATTTTGGGGTAATGGTTAAAAAAGTTCCCCGACCGCTAGTCTAAAAGGTAGAGAAGAAGTTATACACAGATGCAATAGGCAAGGCAATTCCGAGAGAAAGCTTTTCGTTATAAATTTTATGATTTTAAGATTTCATTAAGATATAAAAAGATCGCGGGTGGCCGTGGATTAGCAAGTATTAAAACAAAAGAGATTAATTTACTGTTTTTTTCTTATTGCCATGTGAAAATTTGTTTATATTTAGTTTTTCATTGAATTAAATGGGAAATAATGGGCTTATTATAAAATAGTCTCTAAAATGAGTATTTTTCATTTAGTTCTAATGGATTTGTTGTGTTTATGAAAGTAACTTTTTTGTATTACATAAATGAAGAAATGTAATTCTCACATTTTGCCTAATTTTGCTTTTAAATTTGTCACCTTTAGCAGAAATTGTGCACGACAAAACAGCAATTATCCATGTAGATGTGAAATGCATCGTGAGTGATCCGACTAATTATGTTTTAATGCTCGCCTAAATATTTGCGATTCGTCACCAAAGTGCATATTGATTAGTCGATTACCGGTGTTGTCCGTCGTCGTCTTCTCTCTCTCTCTCACTTCCACTCAATCTCTGTACATGTATGTGTCTCTCTCCTCTGTGTATTGCCAGAGGAAAAATAAAATGTATAAATAGTTTTTTTCGGGTGAGCATCTCCCTCCTGCGCCATCGATTATAGAGTCCGAATTACTTCCGGCACAGGGGATGTTCAATGCGGCGCGAGGTTTGCGAAAGAGATCGCCACTCCTCTCTCACCTACACACACATTTGAGCCAAAAAAAAAATAATCATCGACCCACGATGATACATTTCTCCGATACAATTATTACTTCTTTCACAATGGATTTCGATTCGTCCACTTGACCGTACTTGGTTATCTTCGTTGTTGTTGCTACTGCTGTTATTGTCGCTCATGGGAAATTCAACGTTCTTTATACATTTCTCAACATTGTTATTTTACAATTTGTGTTTTTGTTAATCTTGTTGCAGACAGCATACGCGATCTGTACGAGCTGCTCCTGCAGAAGGAGGCGATCGAGGAACGCATTGGTGCCCATCAGGTGGCCAGGAAATCTGGACGCTCTCCGTCTCTGCGACTCAGGTTCGGACGCAGATCCGACCCCAGTCTCATTCAGGTAAGATATTATTATCAAATCAATCAATCAATCGATTGATTCCATTACAAGCTGAACCATTATGTTATTGAGGAAAGATTCATCACTCAACTGACCTAAACTCAACTAATTCCATTTTTCAATTTTAACAATGCTTTATTCAGTGTAAAATGCAGATGCAATGGTATTTGTTATGAAGGGGTGGCGTACATGTGAGCTTAAGCTCATTTAGCCAGAAACATGATGAGTATTATTTAATAAAAAAAAAAAAGTTTTACAGTTAAGAGGGTTTTTAGACAATAATTTAAGACGATCATGATGTGGATTTACAGACAGACAATGGTTTCGTAAACTCAACTACCTCAATTAGTCATTAAATAAAATGCAATTATCAATATACATTTAATTTCACTCAGATAATATTTAGATAAACTTATTTTTTTTAAAGTGTAAATGTGTTAAGTTAGTGAGTATGTAAATTGTAACAAAAAAAAAACAAAGTAGTAGCTTGCCATGTTCGATGGGATTTTGTTTGGGTAAATCGTGGATGCCGTTCTTTCGAGATGTGTACTTAAACTGAAAGTTGTTGCTTTAGGTGAGTGAACCGATGGGAAAGGGCGAGAGAGGGAAAAAAAAAAATAAAGAGAGCAGAATAAATAATCTACGCAGGGCACTCTAATTTTACGTGTTGTATATGTAAAAAAGAAAAACAGTTGAGAGAATCAAATGAAGTAAGACGGTGGAGCGAAGGCCAGACTGAATGAATTGAATGAAGCGCAGATTGCGCCAATTTTGTCGAATGGTGAATTAGGAGGGAGCGTGTAATTTGGATGTGATGCATCGTAACTGCAATCCATAATTTGAACGCTTCTCTTTTTTTGCACTTTGCTAATATAAAGCTGAAAGCTTGTTTATTAATGTTTCTGTGAAAATATGTGAAGGTGTTGTGTTACGTAACTTTGTATGAACTTAAGACGTTGTAAACTATATGGGTTTGGTGTTTTTGTTTTGTTTGACTCGTTGCAGGCGTCTCCCTACATGCTGTCCGCCGCTCAGGACGCAGCAGAGATCGCTAATTAGGGATGCTGCATCTTAAGATCAACCAACTCTTCCCGACTTTAGAACAGAAACCAACCCACGCCCTGACTACAACCAACAACTACAGCAGACACCGACCCACACCCAGTCACATAAACATACACACAAAAAACACGTACACTTCAACGAGGATCTCTTCTGCGTTGACCAAATAGCAACCGACTCATCTTGGAAACAAAAAAACAACAACACAAAGGATTCAACATGCCTGGTTCTTCGACCCCCAACCCCTTATCTTCTTAGCTATTCTCGCATTATTGTAACCTGTAATCGAAGTATATTGTAAATGACACTAGTCAGCATGCGTAATTTCTATATAGTATTAGATGTGTATTCTTTACTCTTTCGTTGATGTTTAACTTTAGCTCACCGACGAAGAGGAGTACGTTTGGTTTGGTTCTCAATAATATTGGACGAATAAACTCTTAATGCATTCACGCTGTTTCTTTATTTCTTCTCCCATTCCTTCAACTCTTGTTCAATTCCATCCACTAAATTCCATAAAAAAAACAAGTAGGCTAAAACAAAATTTTTCACAAGTGACTTTGTAAATATAAATCAAATATTCCATTGTTTATTTTGCAATAAATTGAACTAATATTCATGAAGTTAATGGCAAATGAATTATTTTTTTTTTGTTAAACTTTTGAAATTTCAAATTGATTCGCTTGTGGGGCAGCAGATGGCAGCGACGCGGAAACTTCGATCAACGATAATTCCGCCAATACGAGCATCGGTAATTAACTGAATCCGCTGACCGTGAGTTAAGGGTGCGCAATTCGGTAATTAGATAATTCCAATTAAGGCCCTAATTACCATTTAGGAATTGTCGCAGCGCCAAAACGCTTGAACTATAAGCTTTACACTTCTGCTCATAGATGACCCGAATTCGGTGGCAGCTTTTATAAGCACCATCTGCTATTAGATTTTTAGTTACTAACAAATACATACTGGTTTATAATTATAATTGCTTGCATGATTAGTATAAGTTATTTTATTATATAATGATATAATTTTAATTTAAAGCAATAATTGTGTTCCATCTGGCGGATGAAGTACGCATTGCTTAACCTCCAAAAAAAATGTATTAGCAAACAAACAAGACGTCAGTTGTGTTATGCGTTTGAGGTTAAGTTTATTTTGTTAGTTTTATCGTTTGAAGAATGTTAGCTTTGCAGCAATATTCAAGTAGCGAGGACGAGAATGGTGATGAGGAGAAGCAGGAGACGTTAGAGGAGGTGAATCCAGAATTCTCGATCAAGAAGTCTCTGGTTGTGTGTGCAGCACCACTTGTGCTTCCGACAGTAAGTGAAACAGATTAGAGTGGTTTTAAAAGGTTATTCATGAATATTATATTATTAGGGTTCCGAGGAGTGCATCCAGCATATTGATCCAACAGCCAAAGAGATTGAACACAATCCCAGATATGAGGAATTATTTGCACCGGCTCTGGGGCCAGCCAATCCCTATAAGACCAGACAGATGAAATCCGATAGAAATATATTGTCTGGCTACGTGGAACCAGCTCATTTAAGTGCCTTTCAGTTCGAGAATCAGAGGAGGACTTTTAACAGTTACGGGTATGCTTTGGATCCCACGGTGGGGACATCAGAGGAGACGGGGGATAAAGTTGTTGGATCTGCAGAGATGAAGGACGAAGCTAAAGGGAAGACTGTGTTTGAGAGTACAAAGTTGAGGCCTCTGGATAAGAGGAAGAGGAGCAAGAACGATAACCCAGGGGATATAGACGGGTTTTTGGGACCTTGGGGTGGATTTGTGGATGAGCAGAGGGTGATGAAGCCCAGTGAGGAGGAGGCCGCTGAAATGGAGGAGCTGGTTTCTAAGAGGCACAAGAAAGGGAAACCGGTGGAGGAGAAGCAGATCGAGGAGAAGACGACGTTGCATAGTACGTTGTTGTTGATGTTTGTTTTTAAATTTAATTGTTAAAAATTTTAGTTGGAGATCCTGTGGATTATCAGGGAAGGTCGTTCTTGCACGCGCCGCATGATGTGGGCGTTAATTTGAGGACTGATACACCACCAGATAAGTGTTTCTTGCCAAAGACTCACATTCATACGTGGTCGGGCCATTCCAAGGGCATCGCGGCTATCCGATGGTTCCCGAAAACCGCGCATCTGCTGCTCTCTGCCAGCATGGATTGTAGGATCAAAATATGGGAGGTGTACAATGAGAGGAGATGCATTCGAACGTATTTCGGTCATCGACAGGCCGTGCGAGATATCAACTTTAATAACTCGGGAAAGCACTTCTTGTCCGCTGGATACGATAGGTACATCAAGTTGTGGGACACGGAGACCGGGCACGTGATTTCAAGATTCACCAGCAGAAAGATTCCCTATTGCGTTAAATTCAATCCGGATGGTAACAAACAACATCTGTTTGTAGCAGGAACTTCCGATAAGAAGATTATATGCGTAAGTTTCGTTTGAGGCATCCGTGGAACGTATTTAATGAATGTGCATCATTTACAGTGGGACACACGGAGCGGCGATATCGTTCAGGAATACGATAGGCATTTGGGCGCTGTTAATTCGATTACTTTCGTGGATGACAACAGGAGGTTCGTGACGACGTCCGATGATAAGAGTTTGAGGGTTTGGGAATGGGACATTCCCGTCGATATGAAATACATTGCGGATCCGACGATGCACTCGATGCCGTCGGTGACTCCAGCGCCGAACGGGAAATGGTTGGCGTGTCAGAGTATGGACAACAAGATTGTCATCTTCTCCGCGTTGAATCGATTCAAGATGAACAGGAAGAAGACGTTCACGGGACACATGGTTGCAGGGTACGCCTGCTCCCTTGATTTCTCACCTGACATGAGGTAATATGATGAGGATATCTCATGAAATATTGAAATTCAAAAATTTAAATTTGTTTTGTTTCAGTTACTTGGTATCCGGTGATGCCGATGGAAAATGCTACGTGTGGGATTGGAAGACGACGAAGCTGTACAAGAAGTGGAAAGCTCACGACAACGTCTGCATCAGCACCCTGTGGCATCCGCACGAGCCGAGCAAGATGGTCAGCGCCGGATGGGACGGTCTCATCAAATATTGGGATTAAGAATAGAGAAACACTTTGAAATGTATTAATTTTTAATAAACATGTAAATTTTGTTATTGGCTCTTGCATGAATATCATACAATCGCACTCACTTATTTAAACTTCTTAATCTTAAGAAGATTCCTACTTTCTTTTTAAACTTTAATTTTTGATTTCGAACAAGAACACAAATGATCGAGGAGTTGGGACTTTTTTTTCCACACATTCAGTCGCTGTCGTCGTCGTTTCTCGGCCTGTTCAACGGACGTCTGCTCTCCTCGTCCGAACCGTAAATCACGTCCTCGTCGGAATCGTTGATCATCGAGAACGCAGGATTATCTTTGGTTATACCGAAATCCTGAATCGCGCTGTTGCCCGGCGGCGAGTAAACGTACGCCATGGTGTACACGTAGAAGTTGATGAGGCCGTAGAAGGACATGAATTGCGCCGAACTGCTGTAGTGGATGTCCAGGTTCGTCACGAACTTATCCTCCAAGATGCCGACTCCGAAACCCATCACAGTTTGCGTTAAGATTATGGCCAGGACGATGCACATCAGAAGAGTCAGAAACTTTAATCTCATATCTAAAAAAAAGAAAGAAAGAAATTATGCAATAAATACTATTTAGGAAATTTAGATTTCTTTGCTTACCGAAGAACGGCATCGATCGCAACTCGGTGTAAGCTCGCAGCATCAGCAAGAAGAGATACGTGATGTAGATGGCGCAGAACGTGAAGAAAACTATTTTCAAACCCTGAAATACGTGGATTGTTTTAAAATTTAAGATTAATCGATATTGCGAATCGTTACGTAATAATAGCTTGCGTCGACTGTGTGGTTGTAGGTCGGGTCTTGTTGCTCGTTGAACTTCTCCAAGATCGAGAGCGTCAACGCGGAGAACCAAAGAACGCCGACTATGATCAGCTTAGGCACATAGAAACGCGCCCATTTCCTATCATTCTAAACGAATCAATTATCATTATCATTTAAACAATCGTAAACTTGCGTTGAATATTACTTGTCTTAAACCGTGGTAAGTTGAGAGCCAATAGAGCAAAAGGCAGGCCAAGAAAGTGATTTGCGAAAAAGCATCCATTACACCGGGAAGCCAAGAGTTGGCCAACAACATCATTGGGAACGACGGATCTACGAATGATAATAATTATTATTATTTTGCTATTAATTATGAATCGCTTGTATTTACTGTTGTAAAAGAGTAAAGTGGGCAGTAGAACGTTGATCCAAGATTGCTCGATTGACCAGAAGCACACCTCGTACTTCTTCATGACGTGCGTGTACCATACCTAGATGTAGCGAAGATTAGGAATAGTCTTAACGGATTCAAGTGTTGATCTTACGAAAATCACGAAGCTGGAAAGGAGGAAGATTAATCTGAACCATACTTCGATCTGCGTGAAGGCCGGATTGTACGTGACGAACTGGAAATATTTCAATCATTTTGTTGTTGTTGTTGTCTCACAGTTTGTGTATCTTGGCTCACGTAAAAAGTGATGTCTTTGATATGGTAGCGCTGATGGAAAGACTCCAAGTCGTAGAAGTGGACGGTGAACATGTAATGGTTGTACTTGAGGAAGGCCAAGTGTAAAACGATGAATTCTTGGCAGCTCTGCTTCACGCACTTCAGATGACGAGTTCTGTGTGTACGTGCAAAATCATTAATTAAAGATATTAAAGATTGATGTCGATTCGAACCTATTTTTCGTATCCTGCAATATCTCTACTGGTTTATGCTCCGAAGTCAGACCTTCGATGTTTACGTTCACTCTGAAGCTCTTATCGAAAGTCTCGTCTGAAAGATTAAATACTTTCGATTAAATTGAATTGTAGATTCAATTGTTTACCATCTTTGTTTCCGGTGTTCAGTTTGGCGATGAGCCAGAGCTGTTGATTGTATGTGCTCATTTCCGGTGAACGCATCGTGTATGGACCAGTCGCGTGATTGGTTATCGTTTTGTTGTCTTTCGCTAAAAGCCCGCCTCCATCGATGGATTGCTTCAGCGTGATTGGTGGTCCGGCTAAGCCGATGAACAGCGCCAGCCCGAAGCACGCGAAGAACGCTACGAAGACCATCACGAATTCGCGCTTGTGCATCGAGTACAGGCGCATCTGCACGGACCTGCATGAATCAAAAGATCAGCATATCAGTGATAGTAGATACGAATTAAGAGAGAACGGACCTTTCGCATCTGTCGTGGTGGTAGGCAGGTGCTATGTACTTATTGAATTCGCTGAAAAGATCGCTGAATTGCGAGAGGGTGTTTCTGATCCGCAGACCCCATCCTGCTGTCGGCAGATGATACGAGTAACCCAGATTTATTCCGTCGATCTTCGGCATCTTTCTAGCAGGAAAACGGGGACGGCACTCTCAAATCAATTTACGACTCTGCAGCGACGAAGGAACAACAGCCACGTTCATCTCTTTCATGCAGCGACTGCTAAAATAATACGTTGGTCCGCATGTTTCGCTCGTATTGATTTTCGAAGGGTGGCGCGCGTCTGCCACTGCGCGCCAACTCCGTTTCTCGCTCCTCCACGACTCACCGAAGATTACATTTGCAAGGACGATTCCTTTTCTCCTTTAATCAATTCGACTTCGTGCACAAATCATAAGCTACCGGAGGTCATTTACAAACACTAGGACAGAATCGATACAACTCAATAATACAACACTTGAAATTTCAAAAACATAAATATTTCAATCTATAATCAATCAATATACACTAATGATATAAGAAACGTTCATTTTGTTATTTATTTCAAAAAAATACTTTTTGAATATTCAAAAATTAACTTTTCCAAAACTATCCTACTGATGGCGCTGTCATTAGATTTTCAATCTCGAATTGCAAAGTTAGTAATTAATATAATCAGAAATCAATTATATCAAGAGATGGAAACCTCCAGAAAGTGAAGAAGAAATAATTAGTATTTTGGACAGCGCTAAAATGCTTGAACTTCGACAGATGCTTGTCGCGACATCTGTTTCTCGCTAGACCAGTGAGTTTATATAGTTCAACCTATCTAGCGCTGTAGTCGTTCGAACATTTTAATTACTACCTTAATTACATTTATAAATGTATTGATATGCTTATTATTTCATTAATTAATTGTGTTATTAATGACGGAGATACATTACAACTATTTCATATTTCAAATTTGAATGTATCTCTTTATATTAACGTTTGAAAAAGCATTACCAATGTAGTTCTTGGATCAGAATAATTATAAAAAATACTTATATTTTATTGAATGCAAAAAAAAAAGAAATATGTTCAGCTGTAGATGTTGACTCCTTCGATCATGTACATGGCCTCATTATCACTGCCACAGAGCAGCCTGTCCCTGTTCAGGTCGATGGAATTGATTGTTGTGTGAAGCTGTGGCATCAGCATGAAGATGTCGTACTTGTTGGTGGTGGATGTGTACCAAGCAGACTCTTCGCAGGCGCCTTGCTTGATACCAGACCAGTGGAAGACATCTCCGGCTTGTCCGCAGGAGAAGATGTGTTCAGGTCTGTCGGGATGGAACTGAACCTCCGTTACCGATTCCGTGTGCGATGTCATCACGTTCAGCGGGTACGTGTTCTGTCTGAGATCCCACAAGGTGATCGAGCCGTGCTCATCTCCGGCGGCAGTCAGATGCCTCTGGGTGGGATGCTGTGCTAAACAAGTCGCCGCAACGATGCTGTCGCCACTGAGCATGAAAATCTGACTGGCCTTCTCCTCGTCTGCCCTCAGATCCCATATCTTCATTTGTCCCCTCGAATTTCCAGTTATGAGCTCATTGAATTTCAGGAATTCAACACAATTTACAGTGCAACTATCAGCATCATCTATAATAAATAAATAAATAGAAATATTAAATCAAATTCATAGAGAATCATTCAAATATAATTAATTACCAATAACTCTTGTTGGAGCTTTATTCATGATACTCAACAGGTTGATCCTTCCATCCTCACCAACGGTGGCAATATCTTTATCGTACACAGCAAATGAGGTGCATGGCATTCCCTGATGTGCATCGTCCCAAACGATCTCATGGGACAGGCATATTTCTTCGGTGATATTTGTGGCAATCTTGATCAGGTACACTTTGCCCTCGTTCGAGGTTGCGATGAGGTAGTCGGGGTTCACGCATTTCAGTTCAGTTACGTCCCCATCGAAGGGCAGCACGTTGATTTCGAAAGGGTTGATGTCTGTGTCCTCTTCGAAGCCCTTCACCTCCCACAGCCTGATGTGATTCTCGTCGTTGTCCCAGCTGCCGGTCACGAATTGCTTGGGATCGTTGAACGGGTTCGGTCTCCATCTGATTTTGTTGATCTTCTCGGAAATGTACGTGCAGTGGATGTTCCTACCCATCTCAATAACTAACTACTACCACCTACTTTAACCTCAAATACACACACTACCGACCGACAATCCAAATATTTCACCGCTCGAAAATTGCAACGCACATTTGGTTGCCTACATAAGAAATTACTATACAGGGTGTCCCACAATATACAACAGTTGGAATTCTCAAGATAATCATGTTATTTTATGTTGCTTATATTTGTTCACGTAAATGAAATGTTTATCAATGTTTTCCTTCGTGGTCAAATGATAGAAATTAGAGTGCTTGCAGTTGCCAAACATCTTTTGCAGCAAACAAATTGTGAATATAGAATTTACCTAAATATCCAAATAAAATCCAAACATTTTACCGCTCGAAAATTTCAACGTACATTTGGTTGCCTACATAAGAAATTACTATACAGGGTGTCCCACAATATACAAAAGTTGGAATTCTCAAGATAATCATGTTGTTTTATGTTGCTTATATTTGTTTACGTAAATGAAATGTTTATCGATGTTTTCCGTCGTGGTCAAATAATAAAGATTAGAGTGCTTGCAGTTGCCAAACATCTTTTGCAGCAAACAAATTATGAATATAGAATTTACCTAAAGCCAATGTTTTCATATCTTAGTTTGTATTTACTTGGAATTTGTTAGAAAAAGTATACATTCGATTATCTATAATAAAGTTGATTTCAATCTAAAAATTAACTAACAATTAAAATAGATTGAAACGCACTTATTTTCTTCACGTGCGAACAACATTCGATAGGAATCCGAGCATTTTGTTGTGCACGAACAATTTATTTATTTATTGTTTTTATTTGTTGTTTAATGTGCGAGGAAGAGGAACAGGAGGAGGAAGAAGATAGTTTTTATTTTGTCGACGACGCACGCACTGCGATCGTCCAAAGATAAAGCGTCGCGACGCCGCGCGTTCACCGCATTTACGATTCAACGCACGACCAAAGAACTTGCGTCCGCAAATCTCACGTCCCCAACAAAAAAAAAACTCCAATTCAAAACAGAAACTACAAATTTGCAGCTGTACCAATACACGTTTGTCCGTTTGCGTGCGTGCTAACTGTTGTTACTTCCGAGATGTACGGAATGCTGCTGGAGAGCGTCCAGCATTTTGTTCAGGTATTTGCGATTTCAGAGAAATTCAAAATATTTGAATTGAAAAAAAATAAGAGATGAGAGAAATGAATGAAAGTAAATTAGGTAAATAGAGCGAACGACACACACACACATAATGGGATGACTTTGATAAGAACGTTTCTAATCGACACACGAAACATATGGTGTGTATTTTTAACACAGCACGCTCTTTTCGAATAGATAGTTGGATTATGTCGCAATTAGTGTCGTTCGCTGTTATTGTTGTTGTTTTTGTTGTCTTGTTTTGCTGCACGAATATTACCGTCTGTTTTCTTTGGCTTTCAGCTGGAATACGGAGAAGATGTTTGGCGACAGGTTCAACAGTTGGCCGGATTCAAGTATTCGGTCTTCAACACGCATCAGGTCTATCCGGATACGCTGATGAGCGACATAGCGAGGGCGTGTGCCAAAGTGACGAACAGACCGTTCGACTTCTTCATGACCTTCTTCGGGAAATGCTTCATGCGTTACTTCAGTCACTTTGGGTACATCCTGCTCCTCCATCATCTCCTCCCGTTTTATACCTCAAAAATAATGATGATGATATCCGTGTGTTTCACTAGATACGACGAGACGATCAAAGCCACCGGTCGTTTCTTCGCGGATTTCCTGCAGAACGTCGACAACATCCACAACCAATTCCGTCTGTCCTATCCGAAGATGAAGAGCCCCTCCATGTACATATCCGAGGTGGATGAAAAGGGCTGCATCCTGATTTATAGGAGCACACGGCAAGGATTCACCCAATATTTGCAAGGTAAATAGACTGCTTCCCTGCAAAAATCCATATATAATTATGTAAGTTTAAAATTTATACGACTTTTGAAAATTCCCATGATTTAATTAATTATATAATTACTTTGAAAATTTAATTAAAAACAATAAAAATAAAACTGAATTTGGAAGTAAATTGAAAATAGGAAATGCAAGAAGAAATGGAACAATCAAAAATTTGATGAGGTTCGACCTCGAAAACTCGGAGCGGATGTTCGTAATGTAAAGTCGACATGTAAGGCAGTAAATCAGTTATCTTTGAGCCCCCCGGGGAGACGAATCCCCGTGACCCCATAAATCCTTTTAGGAGGGATTCAGGTTCCTTTTGCCTGCCGCACAAATAATAATAATAAACTCCCATCGCACGCGTTATTATTACACTTTTCACCCTAACATTTCATTTTCAATTCAATTAAAACTTCCTAATTTAGGGTTGCTCATGCAAGTGGCCAGCGACGTTTTCAATTTGGAGCTGAAGGTCAACGTGATGGAGAGCGTCGTCTCGCAGATGAACGGCAAGAACATCGTCATCGTCACCTTCCGTCTGCACTTCGACAATCAGCTCTATGTAAATTGGTGCAACGAATTTAATGTAGGTGATGATATATTGATGGAATTTGATTGGTTTGCAGATGCTGGACAGGAAGCGGAAAGAGAGTCAGATCAACGTGAAGAACAGCCTCCGTCCGTTCTCCTGCCACATGCTCTTCAAGCTTTTCCCGTTCGCCTTGATGATGTCCCGCGAGATGTTAATCATCGGCACAGGTATTTCACTGTTTCATTTCATTTTTTTTTTCTTTTATTGAAACGACAAATTACGTTTCCTTGTTTCCACCCTTAATTTCGCACTTTACGGCTGTTTACTACCCTCGTTTTTTTTTTCTGTTTTGTTTGCAGGGATAAAAGTCCACGAGTTATTGAGCTCCAAGAAGGGCGACCTCATCGGAGAACCCGTCACAAACCACTTTCGTCTTAGACGACCCAAAGGCATTTCCTTCACGTGGAAGAACGTGAGTGTTAGAGATATACACGGAATGCACAATAAAATTTCTAGCTTTGAAAAAGAAAAAAACGTCAGCTTTAGTATACAAGAAATGCACGGATATAAAGGCGTGCGGCTGACATTAACTAATGGCCCATTTCTACCCCTAATATAAATCGACTCACCATTTATTTATTTTTCTTCTCATTCATTCATTCGATCTGTTGTTGTTGTTGTTTTTCTTTCAGTTGATTTTGATCCGAATCAATTAATTCCAATTGCTTTCAATTTAATTTCCTCTGAGATCCATAAAAATTCGCTTCCCGAAAGACATCGTCGCTCCCATATATCTTCATATTCCGAATCGACACGATATTTCTTCAGACGACAAAACAAATGTTATTGCCTTTTCCAACATTATTTTTTTTCTTCCTCCTCATATTTTACAAGTTTTTCATCGGTACAAACAATATTATTTCTTTGGAAACTATAAACTTATTCATTTATTAATGTGGTCTTGATTATAGTATCTGTAGCAACTGTAGAATTCGCGAAGATTTGCCCAAAAATTTCCAAATTAGAAATCTGAAAAACGAAAATTGTATTAGGAAAACTCTGAAAAAGGTAATATTCGTAAAGTGGAAATACGGGATTCGAGCTTATTATGGAATCGCGGAGGTCGGGAGCTTTTCGATTGTATGCTTTGATTGAAATGAACTATTCGGAGGATGCGGGAAATACAATCGAGAAAGAGATCATTCCGAATTACTTTGTGCACTCAGCGGAATACGCAATGCATCGAAGAACGGGCTTTTGTAATTGCTCTCAACTATTCAACATTCATCTCAAAGTAAACGAATAAGATAATCAATGATCAACTCAAACAATTACGTATTACTTTTTTTATATACAAGTAATTACTATAATCATCGCCTACGCAGATAAAAAGTTGCGTTCGACAAGTGTCACTTGTTGAAAACTTTTCGAATTAAGCAAAGTTTTCGTGTCACCGAAATTAGATATAAGAGCTTAGTTATTAGGTTTTGTTTTTTCCGCAACTTTATCTCTTTGCGAGTTAAGTTAAGAAAATTGAGTAACATAATTTCATTAAATATGATCATAAATGATGATATAATTCAGAAATAAAAGAAAATACTATGAGGAAGAAAGTATAACAAAGTACTTAAATAAGTCGTTTTCCTTTATCTTTATGTAACGATGACAGCGAGCATTTTATCAGCGTCGGTTGCGCAATTAAAGCGATCGAACACGAAGGCAATTAATCAACGCTCATTATTTTCGCAATTTCCTTTTGTTTTCCTTTCGCGTTATTCACGCCTTCTGTTTATGTTTATATTTCAAAATTAATAATGATATTAGATGAGATTTCGTCTCAAACCGAGGAGAAGCTGCATTATTGTCTTGAGATTGATTAGACAATTAACTTGAAATATAATACATATTTTACCAAGGGCTTTGAGGCGACTGTAGTAATATCGATGTAAGCAGTGGAAAATATGGCATAGATCAGCGGGAGAGTTCACCTAGAAAGTTTTCGCGGACGAAGAGCGTCGATCAATCTTACCAGCTGCGACAGGGCAATTAATTGTGTGTGTGTGTGGTATTTTGCAGGCGTTCTATCTGCATTCGGTGACGTTCGAGATTGAATTCCTCCGCGGGGAATCGCCGCAGACCTCACGAGATTTCGCCCAGGAGAAGGAATTCAAAGGACGTCCCATTTCGCCCTACTGTCTACGCAGGGAGAGCATCCACGGCCTGAAGAACATCCTGCTCCGAGGACAAATGCGATACCTGAAAGACGTCGATGCAATTATATTTCTTTGCAGTCCTCTGTGAGTTATCACAACACAATTAACTTGAAATTCCGAAAAATTAAATTATGTGTGTTTTAGAATAAATGGATTGGACGAACTTCCGGAATTGGGACTATATCTGAACGATTTGAATCAGCACGGGATGAGCAGGGAGATGGTCTTGGCCGGTTGGCAGCACAATTCCAAGTACTTATCTAAACTGCAAAGACTACTTACGTGAAGATTGTTATTTCTACTGGAATTTTAGATTGGAGCTGCTTTTCGATAGGGCCGAGCAGAAGACCACCGAGTTGGAGAATAACTACGACCTTCAGGAGACTTGGAAGAAACGCGGAGACGATCTTCTCTACTCGATGATTCCCAAGAGCGTTGCTGATCGATTACGAAACGGACATTCCCCTCTGAGCACCTGCGAGGTACAATTGATGATTAATGTATTTAGGAATTGTTTTTCAATTTTTGAAACTTTCGATGTTAGTCGTTCGATTCGGTGACGATCATGTTCTGCGAGCTGGTGGGATTCAACTCGGAGACGGTGCAGGACGCCATGGACGTGGTGTCCTCGATGAACGCCGTTTTCTCGTGCTTCGACGAGCTGATGGACACTTTCAACGTGTACAAGGTGAAAATCCAGTTTCGTTGAGGCGCATTCGTATTATTTATACAATTTTTCAGGTGGAAACTGTGGGGCAGATCTATATGGCTGCGAGCGGCGCTCCTGAAAGGGTGGACAAACACGCGACGAACGTGGCGGATCTTTCCCTCAGCATGGTGAAGAACGTCAAGGGAATCCTTGTACCGTCGCAAACCAAAGTCGAGATTCGCATAGGTATACTTTAGTTTGAGACACTTCACTTTGCATAATTTCAGTTATTTTTTGTTGTTGTTGCAGGAATTCATTCCGGTCCTGCTGTTGCCGGAGTCGTCGGTATAAAAGTGCCTAGATACTGCTTCTTCGGCGACACCGTCAACACCGCCTCCAGGATGCAATCTTCGAGCATAGTACAAATTAATACTAAAAAAAAAAACAAATTAACAACTTATATAATTACATTATTTTTTAGCCTGGAATGGTCCATATCTCGTCCGTTACGAAGAGCCAACTTCCTGCGAATCGTTACGTAATCGAGGACCGCGGATTCATGCAGATCAAAGTACATATACACCTATGATGAATATTGAAAATCCAATTCCAGCTTCGGCTCATGCCTATTCTCGTTTGTTGCAGGGAAAGGGCAGCATGCAGACGTTCTTCATTTTCGAGAAGAGCGAACGAGATTGAATTATTTAAAACAACCACCGTTTTCATTTCTTGCATCGCTGCTGCTGCTGCTGCACTTTTTTATTCTTCTCACCTTTTGTCCTTGCAATGTCTGTTCACGTTAGAGATTTATCGTACCGTTATTGAATTTGTATATACATATAATAATATATGAACATGTTGAAAGCTTTGAATTATTTTCGAATAAATGTATTATCTAAACGAGAAACTTTAATTCACCCTTTTCTAGAATATCTCACGAGTATTTAATAAAGTTTTTACTCATAATTGCATGAATCAAATCCTTGAGTAAACGAACAAGAATATTCAGGAAGGTGTTTGCAGACTAATTACTTTAGATTATTGGGCTTTTGGAGGCTTTAGTGTGGAAACCTCTTTTTTTTGTTGTTGTTGCAGGAACGGTATGGATCTGTTGTGCAAGGCTTCGTGCTCATGCATATAATCAAGGCAACAAGTTTTCCATTCGGTTTTATGCATCCGCTGAAAAGGCATTTGCAGATTGCAGCGTTCGCATCGCATCCATTCCATCCATCCTTTCTTCATCAGCATCATCATCATCGTGCGTGCATTCGCACCGGTCGCGTCCGGCATTAAAACACCATTTTTTTTTATTTGTAATGAAATTATCAAGAGCACATGCTAAAGGACGATTAATATTCGGAATTGATGCACGAGACGTTCGCGTGTCTCCTGCGACCCTCGGACATTACGCAATTAATTTCACGTGTTCCAAATCAATTAAAAAGGCCCTCTTCTTCCTTTCTTCGGCCCATAGCAGTTCAAAGAGGACATTGCAACTGAAACTGAGAACCGGTCAAGATGTACGGGATGTTACTGGAGAGCGTCCAGTATTTTGTTCAGGTGAGATAGAGTTTCTTAAATACTTTCTTGCTCATGAATTTTAAAATGATTTTGCAGATGGAGTATGGCGAGGCCGTCTGGGAGCAGGTCATTGAAAAAGCTGAATGCAAATTCTCGCAGTTCAACACACATCAAGTGTATTCTGATTCAATCATGTCCAATTTGGCGGAAGCCTGCGCCAAAGTCACAGGAGCCACGTACGACAGTTTCATGCACTTCTTCGGCAGATGCTTCGTCAGATACTTCTCCAATCTGGGGTAAAATCCAACATCTTTCTTTCTGGAAGATGCAATTACTTGATTATCATTTCCATTTTTACCATTATAAATAATCTAAACTGATTATTTAGCTATGATATAACGATTAAGGCGACGGGTCGTTTCTTCACCGACTTCCTATCAAGCGTGGACAATATCCACTCGCAGTTCTGCTTCACTTATCCAAAGATGAAGAGCCCTTCAATATACGTATCCGACATCGATCCTCATGGCTGCAACGTGGTGTACCGCAGCGGCCGTCACGGATTCACCCATTACGTCATGGGTATTATAAACAGGCAATTCATATTTTGAAGAACCAAACAACAACTATTCAATTTCCAGGCCTCCTTCAGCAGATAGCCAAAGACTTCTTCAACATCAAACTGAAGCTGAACGTGATCGACAAGAGCAGTTCGGCCACCGTTGAACGGAACTCGGTCATCGTCAAGTACAGATTGGACTTTGATAATAGGGAATACGTACGTGTTTTGAGTTCATTGTCAAAAACTCAATTCTAAAACTTTACCTTCTCAGATGGAGTACAGTAAACAGCGGCAGGCGAATCTCGAGCTAAAGTCTCTGAGTCCGTTTCCGTCCTGTCTGTTGCTCGAACTGTTCCCGTTTGGAATCTTCATAAATCCAAAGATGAAGCTGATGGGTGCAGGTGAGAAGATCGTCGAGGTGTGGAAGGGAAACCCGGATACGTTGCTGGGTCAATCCATCACGAAGATATTCAAATTGAGAAGACCCAAAGGCGTTCCGTTCACTTGGAAGAACGTAAAAATATTTAATTATTTGGAAATTGCAAAATACTTGAATTATTCTTTTAGATCTTGAACTTGTCGAATGTGATGTTCGAAATTGAGATGGTGAGAGATGACTCTGAGAATCCAGAAGCGGAGAAGAATAAGAACATCTTGCTTAAAGGACAAATCAAGTTCATCAAAGATATTGAAGCAATCATATTCTTATGCAGTCCAATGTGAATTATTCAATTTCATTGAGATTATTATAGATTTAACAGTGATTTTTTAGTATTAACAATTTGGATGAGTTGCCCGAGCAAGGGATATATTTGAACGATTTGAATCAGCACGGATTGAGCAAGGAGATGGTATTGGCCGGATGGCAGCACAATTCCAAGTGAGTATAAATAGTTTTATCAACGATTGAAGGAAATATGTGTTGGTGGTTATCTATGTCTAAGGTTGGAGGTGATGTTCGATGAGGCCGAACAGAAGTCGGATGAGTTGGAGAAGAGCTACGATCTTTTAGATACCTGGAAGAGACGTGGCGATGAACTTCTCTACTCGATGATTCCAAAGACCATCGCGGATCGGTTGAGAGGAGGCACCTCGCAGCTGAGCACCTGCGAGTCTTTCGACGAGGTGAGTATACTGTTCTGCGAGCTGATGGGTCTTCAGTCTTCGAGCGTGAAGGATGTGATGGATATGGTTGATTCCATGAACACGATGTTCTCGTGCTTCGACGAGCTGATGGATCAGTACAACGTGTACAAGGTGGAAACAGTAGGGCAGGTATATATGGCAGCAGCCGGAGCTCCGGAGAGGACGGAGGAGCACGCAGAGCAAGTGGCGGACGTTTCTTTGGCAATGGTCAAAGGAGTGAAGAACTTGAAATTACCGGACGGCGTTAAGGCAGATATTCGAATTGGCATCCATTCGGGTTCCGCAGTCGCTGGCGTCGTGGGCGTTAAAGTACCCAGATACTGCTTCTTCGGCGACACCGTCAACACCGCCTCCAGGATGCAATCTACCAGCTCAGTATGTTCATCATCACTTCAATTCCTTCAGTTTCTTCGTTTTTCTTTTCTCCAATATCTTTATATTATTTGGAACTGTTACAGCCAGGAATGGTGAATATTTCTTGCGAGACGAAACGGAGACTTCCCAACGGGAAATACCGAATCCAGGATCGTGGGATTGTTAAGGTCAAGGTGCGTATAAATAAAATGCCTTTTCTCTTCATTTTCTAATCTTATATCTCTCTGCCAATGTAGGGAAAGGGTGAGATGGAGACGTTCTGGTTGATGGAGAAATAAATAAATATATAAATAGTACGCGAATCACAGGTAGAGAAGTTTTAGGAACAGTAGCAGGCATCCTTGGTGTTGCTTCTTATCCACGAAATGTACCGATTCACCCTCGTGTAAACGCCGGGATAGTTGGGCTCGGCGCATCCCTCTCCCCACGAAACAATACCTAAAATAAAGTAGTTGTAGTACCACGAACTAGTCAAAAAATTCTGCAATTACTTACCAACGATCGTATGGTACGTGCTATTCACAATGTGAAGTGGTCCACCGCTGTCTCCCTAAAACAAATCAAATTACCGACAAACTCCAACACTGACTAAAATATTATTACTTGGCAAGAATCCTTGGTGCCGTGCTTGTATCCGGCGCACATCATGTTATCGGTAATTTTACCTCCGTATCCTGTTTTGCGACAATCTATATTAGATAATATGGGAACGTCCACCTCCATCAGCTTATTGGAAACCTGTCCGTGCTCCTCCGTAGCTCCCCAACCCGTGGCAATACCTAAAACATCCTCCGTACATTGTTCATTCCATAAGAAACAAAATAAGAACGCAAACCTGTGTAACCCGTGTAACTTTTACCGATGGTCGGAAGACAAACTGGACGTAGCAGACCGGAAAACGGAAGTTCTTCGTCCAACCTAAGCAAAGCTATATCGTTGTTGTACGAGCCTCCCATGTTGTAGCCTCTGTGCTTGAGAATCGCCGCAATCTTTCTAGTAAACGTTTTGGTCTCGAATTGATTAGATCTATCGTGATCCAGGAACACAGCCTGCAGTCTCTCTTTGGTGAATCTACAAAGAAAAAAGAATAACATTCAGTTATATATATATTATATAGATAAATGCTGCAATTACCCATTCACGCAATGAGTGGCTGTCAGTAGGTACTTGTTGTTAATCACCGAAGCGCCACAGTAAAATCTTCCGTTGTAACTAAGGATGGTCATCCATGGGTAAGCGTTCACCTGGGTCTCTACGCCTCCCACAATTCTCGTTTGCTTAAAAGTCACGCCGCATGCTGGAATTAAACAATAAATTGAAAAATCGTTGAAAACATAATGTTGTTATTATGAAGCTCATTATTTAGCTGAGAAATGTATGAATCATCATCTTTTATTACAGTAAACATTATGCCACTTTCTATTCGCCTCTTCCTCATCCCAAATTAACGAAACAATGCCTACATTCATTATTCAATTTTCTAGATGTGTAAATGCGAATTGATGCTATATAGTGAAAATTAGCATTAGATTTAAGAATACTTACCGCAGTCTCCACAAAGTTTGGGTTCTACGGGTTTGTTTGGCGGTTTCGTTGGAGGGTTGTTGTTGTTGCCCCCGGTTTGAATACCGACCAAACCCAAGACCCAATCCACCACACCTTTATTGGGTTCCTGATTCTGCACCTGCCCAGAATTACCCAATAAAGAATAGGTTAAATTACTGGCGGGTCGTAGAATCAATGGTTGAGATTCTACTGCCGTGAAGTTGACATCGTCGAAGATCTCGGTGTCGTTCAGGTTGTAGATGGGTTCGACGGTGGTGGAGTCTGTGGAGTGGTTGAATCCTGTCACGAAATCGGGAATCTTGTGACCTTGCGTGTGCTGTGCTTGTCCGTTGAAGAGGGACGAGAACCAGTTCAGAGGGTTCGGATTTATTGGTCTGGAGAGCGGTTTCTTCGCCGGCTTTGAATCGTGTGGCACACCGGGTTCATGTTCCACGGGTCTGGACGTCGGTTTCACAGAGTACGACGGTCTGGGATGCACGTAGTTTCCTCCATGGTCCACTAAAACTTTAGTTTCCTGAACAGAAAACAAACATATTATACAAAAGTAACTTATTAAATAGACTGATATGATTTTTAAATGATTTGAGATTAATTAGCACAACAGAATCAAAATGAAATCTATTTTTCCAATGATAAAAAATCGACTTACCTCTTCGCACGAGATGAAAGAAGCTGCCAGTTGGAGGATTGCGACGATCAATAGGAAGTTCCGGATCTTCATGGTCGATCGGAGCTGAGCATGGACGTGTTTTGGTTATTGTGTTGGATGTTGGACGGCGGGCTGCGAACTGGAGGAAGGAAGATTTCTAATCGAAAATAAAAGTAGGTAATTGGGTGATAAATGTATTTGAACAGTGGCTCACGTTTGGCGCACACTTTTTATTCTTGCCGGGTGCGCGCACCGATTGGACGACGAGGATTGCCCGGATATCCGGTGATTTACCGACTCTTTTATCCGCCAATTTTCCGCTGCAACAGCTGCAATTTTCCGACACGAAATCGCACCGAAAAAAAAACGCATCTCTTCGCCCACGACGAAGGGAATACATATATACGACAACAAACCAAAAGATTTAACAGCAAAAAAAAGCAAGGCTGGTGAAAGTTTGGCAAATCCAGCCGGTAAATTCAGATTTGCGTCATCCGCAGAAGATTTTACCGGAATCACCATGCTCGAGAAAAATAAATAAAATATAATGCAATAATAAACTCGTGCATTTTTGATTTGCGAAAATTTTTGTTGTGTCCGTTGAACTTGCGGGCACATTCATTTCGTCGATGATCGTGATTACCATAACCAGTCCTCCTGCATTCTGCGCTGGCCCAAATCTTTATTTCCTTCGGCGAACTCCCCAAGATTCCTGCGACCATAAACTTAAGAATTTCGTTCGAAATTTAACTGGCGGAATTACCGCAGCGACCTTCTCTCCGACTTCTTCTGGCGCAACGTTCGCGAGAATTCGCGAACTTCAATGTCATTGTCGACGCACCCACACACCAACTGTACTTGAAAATCTACTTCATTATCGTACCGTGTCCATCGAGGAGATTATTACTGATTTAACCTTGAAACAACCGCCGAATTTGAACCCGATACCACATCGTTTCCAGCGGCAAACATTCCTGTTTCATCTGCAACAACAACAACAACAAAAAAGAACTGAAAATTAATAGGTTCTACACAATTTTCCATTACTTAATACTTAAATTACTTAATTGCACGCTAAATGTATCAAGGTAACGACATTGGTTCTGCACGACAATTATTCAATTAACTTAAGCAAAAAAAAAAAATCAAGCAAGAAAGACTAGAACTAAATTACGTGTAATTCTTGGATCTTTTGGATTTTAGAGTAGGCGCCGGATTCAGGGATATTTAAATAATTGAAAAACGGGTATAATCTTATTCCGCAGACTAGATTCGAAGAGATAATCGATCGTACTCATATAAACGACCAACGTGTTTCCAATACCCACCAGCAATGAAAAGCGAAGAGCAAAGAATCGGATGCGAAAACCTTCTGGCATGAGCGAATTTCAATTTGCAATTATCGAAGAAATATAAGAAAAGGAAGAATTAAAAAAAAGGCATCAAGATAAAATTACTATCATTAACGTGGGATTAGAAAATCAAATCAGATTGTAAATATGAAAGTGTATGTTTTCATTAAATCGCATTAAAACACACAATTAATTTGAGATTATTTTCGAATGCATTGGATAATTGCATCAACATTTATTATGAGCGTCTGCAGATGAGAATTGGTGCATCGTCCGTCCGGTTGTGCAATTGTTGACGTGATGTGAAAACGAGCGTTTCGACGTTTACATTATTTTTCCGCTTTTGTAGGTCACCGATTGGTTATTATTTAATTATGTAGATTTCTGCTTAAATCATCGCCCAATGCCGAACAGACGATTAATGTCTATGTGACTATTTGCACGGATAAACCTGCACCTTAACATTTCCACCAATCATATTTTACAAATTTTTTTTTTTGTATACAAAAGTTTTATTGCTTACGATTTGTAATGTTTACACAGATTGAGACACCGGATTCTCTTCTAGCCCATTACCAAATGACATTCATTGAATGTTAATTATTACTGAATGTTGTTAATTTTAACGAATTGAGGAGATTTGTGCAAAAAAAAAAAACAACATAATATTATACACGAAAATGAAGAGGAGAAAGTCACACCTTTGGACTTTCGACTTTTGTTGTTGCTTAGCAAACTAAGAAGCAAAAAGCGAGAATCAAATGGAAAATTTACCAAATAGCATCTAAGAATTCGAAACAGAGATGATAATAATAAGTTGGCTTAGGTCAGTTTGAATTGAGTGGAAATAGAGACGTAGCATTAGTATTTAGTATGAACGAATGAAATTGCATTACCGATGATTGTGTAATTATGTGTGCTTTTCTTTATTGAAGTTAAACAGATTGCAAAATGTAAATTGGTTTAGGTGTTAAAACGACCGTGACCATATCTAATGCTTTTAAGTGTAGAACAAACAAAGATATTTTCCATTATTTTTCTCGTTCCATATTCGATTGTTACATCTATTTCTCTCTCTTTCTGTACAAACTAATTTTCAGTGATAAATATTTAAGTAGGCCACGGAAACAATTAAATCTGAGTTATGTGTAAATGTGTGACTCGTCGTCTGGTGTATAGTTTGAGTCGATCCGAAATATAGCAACGAATCGTACGTCTACGACGACCGAAGAATGACTATACTACTGCTACACTGACTTAGCTTTCCTTTGGCTCTCGGATTCCAGCCAGACGTGCATAGCAATGCCGGAGGAAAGTTGGCATTGAAATGGTTAAAAACTTGACCTCAGGTGCACTTTACTAATACACTTATTATTAGCTGCCCAGCACCGCGTGGCACAAAGGAAAAACTCTATATATTGGTCAAGGTGCCAAAATGCTCGGCACAATGGAAGATGGGGGCGGCAGCGACAATCCGTGGAGCTATGCTAATACGGACTGTCGGACTTTTAAATGAAACATTCGCGATTTTTCGGGAAAAAAATAATATAAATTTAAATATATTTATGCATTATTTATGTCTTTTTAGAACTTTCAAGATCAACGTCCAATCGCCTATGCTAATCACCCGCAGCAGCCTTCCTCTCCATTTCGAATTCGCGTATTATTCATCCGTTCCATCGATACCAGGAAATTAATATCTAATTGCATATTTTTTTATATATTGTTTACAAGAAATTCCATTACGCAATTGATTACTAATCCCACCACAACCGAGAAATACAAGTCTACTTAATTCATGGAAATCCAGTGCAAAACTTTTTGAATCCTTGCTCAAACTGGATTTCGATCATGAGAAATAATAACATTATCAGATATTCAAATTAAATATCAAATTGTAATTAAATTTGTTTAATAATTAGCGTATTGAAGGTTTTGATTACATGCAATAGTTTAATCTAGTTAATGGTGTAGGTAATTGATACTAGTTCATGGATGATTTGATACGCATTTGGTAATTAAATGAGGTGCGAACGAATTGCTCAACGATGGTAATAATCAAAGGTTGAACGGGCAGATTAATTAAAGCGAGCGAAATGCATTATTTAGTGGATGGAATATTGCAGAGGAATTGGTGTCAATGCAGAGGGGAGCACGTGCGTTCGAAGGGTTCCGCCGACGTTATCAAACGCAAGGATAAACAAAGATACAAAACTAAACACAGAAACACACATATGCATGCGGTTGCGTAAATGTGTCAGAGACACACGCGTGGAAATGCATGCACATTTGCGCGGTCCTTGAATGCATCTTTCCTAGACATTGAAATATTGAATACAAATAAAAACCAAATCACATGGAGGAGGTGTGTGTGTGTGACACATGCGTGTGTTTGTGCATGTGTGCGAGAGAATACACTACAACGTACCAAAAAAAAAAAAAATGGTCAAGGCAAATGATCCCCTCTACCCTTAACATTGAAACAATAAACTCTATCTGTATATAAAAACATGAGGGCCGAAAAGTGTTTTATTACTATTGGCCCCTGTACTTTGTCGGAACGAAATATTTGCTTTGGCTTCTTACGCGCTCTTGCATAACCGCGAATCAAACTACAAACCGATCGAATTAAAAGTTAAAGTGTAACGATGATGACGATGTTTACGGCCGTTTCCGCCATCCTGCTGATCGCAACGGCGAACTGCGCCCCATCATCAAGCAACAAGGTAATTGCCCTCTTACATCTTTTATACGAACCCAGCCTCCACCTTCGACGGATCTCCTCTCTCATCCTGATACATTATTGCAGATGCAAACACGAAGCGCCAGGAGCCTCAACGACAATGTCATAACGCCCAACAACCATTGCAACTGCGGTAAGTGAACGTACATTTAAATACTTTCCATCAATCTAGTAATTATCGTTCTGGTCCATAACAAGAAGTAGTCTATTTGTAGTTCCTCCTGAAAAAAAAAGAAAATATGATCAGCAAATCGACAAATTTTGTTATGCAATATTTCAAGTTTAAAGTTAATCAACGATTAATGTGTAAGAATCTTTGATTTATACTTTGGAATGTCACTATGATGCACTTGATTGATTCATCTTGACATAAATCTAACATTCCACAAACGCTTTATCATCAAAGGTGTTTCAGTCACAACGATAGAAAGATAAATTCCTAATTCGATAGAGCAATTTCACTTTTCATCCAAACAAATTAAATTTTATTTTCCGTGAATAATTCGTTTCTGATTCGCTTCTTGATGATGATTATTAATGATCAATTTTAGATAATACAATAGTAGGCTATGATCTAATTCATTTGTTCCAGTCTGTGGCATGAGCAACAGGAGGATGAGGGTGGTCGGAGGGAACATAACAAGGGTGCACGAGTTCCCTTGGATCGCGGGTTTATCGAGGAACGGAGAGTTTTACTGCGGTGCGAGTCTCATCACCAGGAAGCATCTTCTGACCGCAGCCCACTGCGTTAACGGGTAAAAAATATAATCAATGAATTTCATACCATCGCCATCTCCGATCATCCATGACCATGATTCAATTAATCATATTCCAGAGATAGTCTTCGCACAATAAATATATTTTTCTTTTGTGCTCTTCAATTAGAAAATGTAAATTGTGAAAGTAAAACGGCTTTTCGCTTTACGATCTTCGAACACCAAACACGATTCTTCGCGCACTTTTAGCAAGTTTTTAGAAAATTCGCGTAAACAAACAAATTATTTGTTAGCCCAATAACCGGACAGACTACAATACATTTAAAATTTTAAAAATAATAATAATAAAAAAAATGTAAATCTTTACGTTTTCGCGTAGAAAGCTACGGATTTTTATAACAATTCGCATATTTCCTGTGAGCGAAAATTCAGTTTACTTTTCAGAGTCTATTTTTAATATTGTTTTTCGCTGGAGTTTCCATCAAGTTTTTTAATGAAACTGCTTTAAAGCAACATCTGGAGATTAACCTAAATTTCATTCGGAGTCGAATAAGAATTTTAAAAAAAAAATGAGTAAATATTAATATTTAGTTTCAAACTAAAGGTACGAACGAGAAAGCACTAAAATAAAATATAAGTTGGTAATAAATAAAATTAAAAACAAAATTAGTGATCAAGAAAGCCTTGCACTAAAATATAAGTTGGTAATGAATTAAACAAACAATTGGAAACACAATCCGGTTAGAATTTACAAAATAATTGAAGATCGTGTTTTGTTTGTTTGCAATGGTGATAATCGTTTTAAGTTCATTTTAAGTTTTAAGCTGTGCGAAATAACGCGAATATTTTAAATTTAATTGAGAAATTCTCGAAACTGTTTGAGTGAGTGTTTTGAACTTGTATTTACTTTCAGTAAGTATAACAAATTGTGTTGTGTTGCACATAATTTATAAAAAAGCTCTTATTCTATTTTAATTGATTATTAATTATAAAAACTTACCATAATATAAAGATTTGCGTTATGTAAATTCTTCGGGTTTAAATTTCGTTGTTGATTATAATGGCGACTTTTTAATAAAAGAACATCGTTTAAACAAAATTGCCGTTGTGATGCGTTAGCATGTTGTGCAACTTTAAAATAAAAAATCCCTAGTTTTTGAAACAGCTGTTTAATGTTTCAGATTCGATATAAGAGGAATCACGGTAGTTTTGGCTGATCATGATCGTGATGCAACGGATAGATTCTCGACGGCTGAAGTCAGGGGTGTGAAAAAGGTGAGGCAACATAGAGCGTTCGACGCTTACAGCTTCAACAATGATATTGCTGTGTTGGAGTTGGATGAACCAGTCTCCTTCAGCAGCAAAATCCAACCGGCTTGTCTTCCGAATACCGGTAAGTGTTGATGTTATTGAACGTTAAAATCAAAAGTTAATTTTTGATGTCAAGTTAATGCAGATTACTCGGGAAGATTGGCCGTGGTTGCTGGTTGGGGTAGACTCGGTGAGAGGGAAGAGGTGTCTCCAGTGTTAAGAAAGGTGGCCGTTCCGGTGTGGAAGAAAAACGATTGCTACAATTCAGGGTACGGCGAGAAACGTCTTTCGGAGAACATGTTTTGCGCCGGATATCCGGATGGTAAATTGGACGCGTGTCAGGTAAAATTAGTGTAAATTGTGTTTCGGATGTGTTTGATTAAGTTGTTTTAATTGGCAGGGCGATAGCGGTGGTCCTCTGCACATGACGAACAGCGATGGAGACATGGAAATAATCGGTATTAGGAAGTGTTGAGTTTGTTGGGAAATTGATGGTCACAGATTTGCGTTTTTTTTTTCTGCAGGTGTGGTGTCTTGGGGAAGAGGTTGCGCGAGGCCCAATCTACCTGGAATCTACACTAAGGTCAACAATTATCTGCAGTGGGTGCAGGAATCGCTCAACGGGGAATGCATGTGTCCTCCTGCTGCCTACAACAGAAGAGGCTGAGCATTTCAACTGTATATTTATTAAGTATTTATTCTCCCAAGGAGAGCTGAATTTTCGCCCGTGGCGAAGCCTAGTCATGTACCACAGTCAACGATTAGATTTTATAATTTAGTGTTTTAGGAAATTGTATAATGTGAATATATCAAGAAAATATTGCTGCTGAGGATTTATGAATACAGAAACCTTTATCCCGAATCCTGTAAGTGAATACCGTCCTAGAATACTAATTGATGTTGTGATTGATGGATTTGTGTACGATGTGTAATTGTGTGTGATCACAGCACAAAGAGAAGCAACAATACAAAAGCCTCGTTCTTGAACGGATGGACTACTTAGCTAGGTTGAACTCTGGTTAGTTATACAAAAAAAAAAAAAAGGAAAAGGTAACGAATCTGTTATGCATCGCTCGTACAATGTCGCTTTATTGCCAAGCGCGTTGCCCAACGGAAGGTCAAGAGAGCCGCCGCACGTGTCCTTCTTGGATGAATGCAACTGTTGGAAAGATTTCGGAGATTACACAAACGAATTCGGAATAGAAAGTCGGTCCCCCTTCGAGGATCCGCCATCAGAGAATTCGAGAAATGAAAGAAATAAAGGAGAAACATAGCAGAAGAGGAGATCATGTATAAGCATTTCAGCAGTAAGAGTCTCACTTTCTCAACCTTGTCCTTATTCCCTCAATAACATCGGTTCTTTTCATGTATTTTTTTTTGGTTGTTCGGCGCCTTCCTCAACACCTCGCGTTACGTAACTGCGCTCGAAAAATTTCACTCCGAAGGGGGATCCGAAAACGAAAGTTTCCCACCCGTTCGGAAATTAAAAGTAAATGCTGCGAACGACTGCGAGAGCGAAGAAAGAACCAAGAGGTAGAAGCGATGGTAGAAGAAATATGGGTCGATTGTCGACGGGGGGGACCACGGATCAAAAGCGATGGTAGGAAGAGAAGCGCGGCTTCCAGCGGCGGAGGAAAAACGTTATCATTATCATATTTTATCCCTCCACACACGCACACATACATACATGCGAACATACACACAGAGACAAAAGTAGCCGAGTAGTTTGTTGCCGGTTACTTTCTTCTTGGTTCAAGTGAAAGAGTAAACAGACCTTGGCAGACGGGTGAAAGCATCAAAAGTGTGCGTGTAAGTCACTCAAGTGGTCACGAGAACAGAGGCCCAGACGATTTTCGATTTAAACTGCTGCTGATTCTTCCTTTACCCATCGCCTATTTTTTTTAACTATTCATTCTTCTTCGGATTTAAGAAATGTGCAATCACGAAAGGACATAAAATAGAAGAGTACCATCAACATCACGTCAGTCCACTAATCAACAGAATCTTCAGCGAGAAAAATGTCAGTGAAGTTGATCGTCATCTTGTGCGGTGTGTGTTTTATGCATTTGATACCAATCAGTGAAAGTCTTCAGCAACTCGATCAACAACAACAACAACAGGTAACGAGAAAAATGCACGTACACGAATGAATGTCACTCTCGAATTCCGCGCATTCCCTACAATTTCCAAACAAAAATTACAACGAACGTTGTCGTCCCATTAAGAACAGAAAAATTCATAAATTTACATTAATTTGACGCACTTAATGAGACTGTAACACTAAAAACCAGATACAATCTCGACGTTTATTAAACATTAACAACAGTAATTAAGACACCAAGAATGTACTTGTTACGCAATTAATTACAGACTAATCTCATAAATCTTAATAATAACATTGCATTATACTACAATTACTTAATCAAGTATAAATATAATGAAATAAGTAATTTTGTATCAAAGAATTTATTTAAAAAGAACATTGATTTTGGACTGAAAACTTTTAGTTACAAAAAAAGAAAACTTGTCGTACAAATTTAAATAAATCTCTCTCATTTTTTTTCCATTCGGAATTGAATAATTAACACTTCCAGTTCACACGTAAACACAAATAATTCTTATATAAAAAAACTAATCGATTGATTCTACTTAAAAGAGATTATTTAATTATTGAAGATAATCTCTATATTTGAGCTTCAGATTTTGCTCCAGTTATATACTTTCATTATTGTACTTTAAACGAGGCGAAATTCGATTTGCAAAGTCATCGAGTCGAGGAGGAAGATTGGATATGTTTACCTTCACAATTAGTTCACTTTCACGATAATTTCGGTGCCGAGAAGTCGGACGTTTCTTATGCCGAATAAATGGAAATTCCTATATTCTTTTTTTAAAAACTACATATATAAAAAAATATAATTATTCTAATTAAACTTAAATGAGATCAATCAATAATAACATTCTTGATAGGTGAAATGACCAGAGTGCTTTGCGAATCTAATCCACTAAGAAACTCTAGTTTCCTACATTTTATACACGTATTTCTAGATTTTTTTTAATTGACTTTATTTTCAATACCAGCGCCACACAAATAATCACTTGTTCCATGGAAACATACGCAAACACACAAAAATGAATTGATCTTTTGTTTTTTTGTCGACGGATATATTGATTAAATTATATGCAACGAACTGTGCATGTGCAAGTCCCATAGAAATCTGTTCATTTTATGTGTTCGCATTGTACGGAAATGTATTGAGTTTCAACTGAATGGTGTTAATTAATTTAAATGTAAAATTGTTTAAAAAAAAATAGAGTCGAAAATGTGCGTGTCGTCCCCGTGTTTGCAATGCAAATCGGAAATTTTCGATTGTTTTCGATGGATTTTGAATGCAAATAAGGAAATCCGTGTGTGCGTTTTCCAAATTCGGAGTGGCACACATACGGATTCATTCATTCACTTTCATTTAAACACGAACAAAACGAGCGGAAATGGCGCCACTGGAACTCTCACTTTAATTCGTGTTTTTTTTTGTTTTATGATTATTCGCTTCATTGCTTTTATATGTATTTTTTTGGTTTCTCCGAATTGCGAATTTCACGTTATAATTGCTCGAATTTCTGGTAGCAAACCATCATCGGTAGTTCAGTAAGAAGTAGAAGTGGGACGAATGCTACAGCCAGATTCCTCTTCAATCAGCTCTTCAGCATCGCAAATCTCATCGGAGGAGTGGCCGGATCTGATGATGATGATGACGACGATGACGATGATGCGAGGAAGAAGAACTGCACGTGCGGTAAGTCGGGTTGTTTATTTCTGGGTTTTTGCGAATGATAATCGTGAAGATTTCTTTGCAGAGTGTGGACATTCGAATCAGGAGAACAGGATCGTCGGCGGAAGACCTACAGGTGTCAACAAGTATCCGTGGATCGCGAGGCTCGTGTACGATGGACATTTCCATTGCGGCGCTTCTCTGCTGACGCAGGATTACGTCCTGACCGCCGCCCATTGCGTTAGAAAGTAATATTTTATTGTCAACCTGTGTGTGTGTTTTTGGTATTTAATCTGTTGTATATTCAAGGTTGAAGAGATCGAAGATCAGAGTTGTGCTGGGCGATCACGATCAGACCGTCACTTCGGATGCTCCTGCTAAGATGAGAGCGGTGGCTTCCATCATCAGGCACAGGAATTTCGATGGGGATTCGTACAATCACGATATCGCCCTGCTGAAGCTACGAAAACCGGTGGAATTCGCAAAGAACATTAGACCCATCTGCCTTCCCTCTCTAACAAGTAAATTAATAATCTATTAATCTATTAACTAAAGATAAATCTACTTATTGATTTGTTTTAGAAAATTTTGATCCTGCTGGCAAAACTGGAACGGTCGTTGGTTGGGGAAGGACGTCGGAGGGCGGAACGTTACCAGGAATCGTGCAGGAAGTGCAGGTTCCCATCCTGAGTTTATCGCAATGCAGAGCAATGAAGTACCGATCGTCGAGGATCACCAATTACATGCTGTGCGCCGGTCGAAGCTCGCAGGATTCCTGCCAAGGCGACAGCGGTGGACCTCTCGTCATTCCGAACGGCGACAAGTTCGAAATAGTCGGTACGAAATCCCACTGAAAAATCGATATTTGAAAATCATTAATTTGTTGTTAAAATCGTAGGTATCGTGTCCTGGGGTGTAGGATGCGGTCGTCCTGGTTACCCGGGCGTCTACACGCGCGTCTCCAAATACCTGAACTGGCTCAAGTACAACCTGGAGAATACCTGTCTCTGCACCTGATGCATCCGCTCGAAACTCAAAAAAAAAACAAAACGAAAAGACAAAAACAACCTATTTATTATTCCTTTTACTATTTATAAATAAAGACGAAATGACGACCTTGAAACATCTCTATTGCTGTGTGGTTGCCGTGGTTTTCTGTTGTTGTTGTTGTTGCTATGGTTTCTCTTATTGATAAAAAGTTGGAGCCATTAAATTAAATTAAATTAAATTAAAACCAGGGAAACCGGTTGAAAAGTTGAAACTCCTTTTCCCAACAGCAGCAGGAGTCAACGGCCCCAGCGAATTCGCCCACAACCCCGAAATCAGATGCTCACCAAATGCACGTTCACCTTTAAATAGAGAGAATCAGAGAGAGAGAGGTAAAGAAATGAAGAAAGAGATATAATTGTGGAGGGTTTAATTAGATTTACGGTCTGCGGAACGGCATAAACGCGTATGAATGTGCATGAACGTAACTGTGGGCAGGAGGCAAATGCATCGACCGGAAGGTTTTCTTTCCTCTTTCGATTCCCTTCCTCCTCCTCCTCGTCGTCTTCACCTCATACACAATGGTACAGTAAATCAGTGCGATTTACCATTCCGATTCTTATCCGAAGAACGGACCCACCTATTCATTCGATTGCGGCGGCCGTCTGCAAGATGCTTCGCAAATTGGCAAAGAACGTATTCATCCACTGCACTAGCACCATCAGCAGCAGCCGGAAAGTGCAGAATCTCTATGTTCGCTATTCATCACGCAATTTGCATACCGAAATTATCCTGCAACAGTCGCTTTCATTTCGAACTTTTGCATTAATTCGTGGAACAATCTGAAACTGCATTTTATTAATAAGGACATTAAAACGATGAAATGCAAAACCACTTTCGCACTGAAACAAGTTTTGCATACGTATTACTCAATATTCATTGCTTTTCCAGCAAACCGACTAAACACTATTTTACCTTATTGCAACAACTCACATCAAAACTGGATAAAACACATATTTATTTTCGCTAAAAGTTACTTTAACTTAAAAATGAAGATTATTCAACAAAACTTAAAGCTAATATATTACCTATTAACGATTAATTCACTATAAATTCTTACTTCGCTGTTACAATATCAAATAAACTGCGTGAAAGAAAGCAGTTAATAGTTAGTGCTAGTAGTAGTCTTCTTTTGTTTCGGTATTGGACAACTGTTTCTTTTCGCGTCGCGTTCGCACATATTATACATCCCATCGGAGATGTCGGAAAAATGTTTAAGCACACTTACACGGTCAAGGTACATACTAATTAATTTGCTCTTGAGAACCGGTCGCACACTGGTCGGGTTCATTATGGGCATGGGAAATTGTCATGAAGACGAGTCAGAAATTTAAGATTCCTGCGAGTATACCAAAAAAAAACGCAACATTGCTAACTTTTTCAAAACAATAAATATTTATTGTTTTTGACAGTCCTAAAATCTATTTCATTAATTGTAAAACTATAAAAGTTAGAA